GCGCAGGTCCCGCGCCCTGCCCGGCCGAGCCAGGCGGGGCTTCCCGCAGCTCCGCCGAGTGGGCCATGGAGGCGTCAGTCGCGCTCTTGCTCTGCCTCTCGCTTTTCCCAGGCTTTTCCCAGGGCAGAGTTGTCCGAGAGGATGAAGCCGGTTTTGCCGAGTGCAACGTGTTCTTCCCTGGACGGGTCCCGCCAGAAGGATTTACGGAGCCCTTCCACGTCAAAGTCTGCCAGCAGTACAACAAAGAGCCGCGCTTTGCAACCCTCTACAGTACTAAGGACAAAATTCCTCTTTACTCGGCTTTCAAGTATACAAAGGCAGCCCAAAATGAGGAGGAGAACTGGCTGGTCGAACCGCAGGTAAGTCAGCTTTTCCTCCCCTGTCAAACGGACGTTCCTGGAGAACGTTTCCTCTGCGGTGAAGCTGGGGATAGGATTTTGCAAAGGAAGCAGCTCCGCTTGTTGAACTTCAGATATGAATTTAAGGCAAGCAGAATTTATTTTTGTGCTTGGCCCCCGTCAAACACACAGTTCCTTGTCGCACGGGGCATTTAATGGAAGCTGGGAGGGGAGAGGCAAGTCACCTCTGGTGCGGGTGCTCCTGTCCTGCCCAGCCGGCTGTCGGGGAAGGGAGCAGTGCCCGTGGGCAGCAGCGTTGAACATCGCAGTGTCAAGCTGAATTTTGTTCTGTTGCCAGTGTGATCGCAGAGTTGGTCGGAGCTCTTCAGCTTCGCTGTGCAGAGATAAAACATCCATTTGCGGTTCACCGGGTTGACGCTGCAGCTTTTTGCCGTGCCCCGGCGTCGCGGACAGGCAGGGAATGAGCTGCTGTGTCCTGGAGCCTGCAGCCTGCAGGCAGGTCACGAGTGTGCAGAATAAAGTGAATTCCCCAGAGCCCCCGTGGTTTTTGTCTCCCATGACACCTGGCATGTTGAAGCGAGTTCTTCAGGCTGTTAAATTTAAAGGAATCCTTAAAAAATTGTTGCCACCCTAAGAGAACATGTACACTTTGCCTCTCTTTTTTTTGCTCTGTTTTAGGTTTTTCAGCAGTGATAATGGGGAATTTTGTAGTGAACGTCAAGCTACCCCAGTGTTTTGAGCTGAGGAAAGATTGGCTGTGTGTGTGGGTGCTCGGTCAGGGCAGGAGCAGCAGCAGTGCCAGAGCAGCGTGCTGGGAGCATGGCCCTTGGGTGCTGGCTGCTGGACATAGCCAAAATTAAAGCTCACCCCTGTCCCGGCTGCTGTGCCCATTTTCCTCATGTGGGGTGCTGAGATAGTAAGGCCACAAGGTTACAGGCAATGAAGACAGGAGATCCTACATCCCTGGTTTCACTATTCCTACGTCCCCGACTATCTCCCTGCTTTTGGGGCTGGGTTTTGAGTTGCAGGAGTTCCCAAGGGCTTTTTGATCTGCTCTCTTTCCACTTCACAGATGGCCGTGGGAGGTGTCTGCTTGCCCTTTTAAAACAGAGGGAAGCTTTTTGCAGACGGCCATTATGGTTTTAAGGAAGGATGATGAATTTTTAAAGCACAAAGAGAACCTAGGCAAGCGAGGATCTTTGCTCAGTGCCATGGAGGCAACGAGGCAAAGCAGAAGAGATCCGTTCCAGGAAAGGAGAGGATCCAGAAGATCCTTTCCCATTTGCCCTGGCCACTGACACCCTTTGGCACTTCCAGCCACCAAATCTCCTCCTGCTCCCTGTAGCCTGGCTCACCAGACCCGAGACCTGCCCGGGCAGGTGTGAAAGCTGCTCCTGCTGTGGAGCAGTGGGCAGCCCCTCCGCAGCAGCTTTGGTTCTCCAGCATCTGCCTCCAGCTGGCTCCCCTGCCCTCCCTGCTCCATCCCTCTTCCCCCCTCACCTTGGCACCATCCCTGCCAGCACTCTAGAGACCAAAACTTCGTGTCTCCTGCCACCAAAACCTATCGCAGCCCCAGAAAGAATTGGCCATGGGCTACTTTTAGTTACTTTGGCTTCTCCAGAGCTTCCCCATAGGCTGCTGTGGGTGCACTGTTAGTTTACACTAGTGGGTCTGCATTGCTGAAATGCAGGTGTCTCAGAGGTTCAAGGTAGCAGCTCTGCAATTCACTGGAGGAACCTCAGTGTGAGACAGAAAAGCACTAGGAAAAAAAATTGCCTGAAGAATTTGTAAGAAGAGGAAAGTAGGAATACAGAAAATACCTGTAACTCAAGAAATAAGCACATACACTGGATCTGGGAGGAGAAAGTGAGGAAGAGATTCTACATCCGTTCTGTGCATTCTTGTCAAGGCTAGGTGAGATGGTTAGGACAGGTTGGATGGCTGCTGAAGGGAGCCTTTAGCAACACCCACTCTGCAGCATAACCCCATCAGGTTACATTGCCCATTTTCTGGGCAATTTTCATGCCAAGAGAGGGGTAGCTGGGTATGAACAGGCTCAGCTGAACAGTGGCAGGTGCTTATACCTATGTGTGTGCACATGGAGAAGAAGAGATACAGCAAGCAGAAAGAAATCACTGTAAAAATGCTCTCTGCACTCCAATGAGGGCCTCAGAGTTGTCACATGCTCATTTTTTGGGTAATGATATAAGTGGGGAGGGCACCACCTCACTCCCTGCATGCCTGCCTCCTCAGGAATGTCTGCCTCAGGAACAAATGCCAAATGTAGCACAGAGGCAGTACTTGGGTGAGAAGAGCAAGGAATGTCAGTGCCACCCACTGCTGGTTGGCAGCTGGAAACAACAAATTAACTCAGCAATTAGTGAAAAATTAGAGAGCAGCCAGGGTAGGCTGATGAACAGGGTACTGATGGGATTCCCCCAGGCTCGGGTCTCAAAACCTGCCTTGCCACTGATTTCCTAGCGATTGAAGGCAAGTCACTTAGGTGGCTTTCACCTCATCTCATTTTTGTTGTCTGAAAACCTGTGCTTTGGACTCTTTCTATAGCATAGACAGATATGGAAAATTCTGGAGTTGTTTTTTCTGTCCTAACCTATGAGGGGCTGGATGAATCACCTTGTGTTTTCATTTGCTTGATGACTACCACCAGCCAGGTGACCAAGGTGGGGTTTGCATTGCCCAGCTATAGGTTCCTCTGAGTTACTCTTGGCATCTCTCTTGCTGGACAGTCAAGAGAAACAGGTACTTCTAGAGACACTCATGTGAACATCCTGCAACAGAAACCTTGCCTGTGTCTCCTCCTGGAGACCTGTACTATTGGTAGATAAAATGCCTCCACTGCAGTTGAAGGTGTAAGTGTGCCTGAGGAAACAGTGAGGGGAGTAGGATGCTGAAGTTCTCCTGGACTAATGCTAGGGTGAGGAAGGTGAGAAGTAACAGTGTCCTGCACTGCCAAATGACCAAACCTGATGGCAGCTGCCTGCTCTAGTAGCTGTGTGTTGCCATACATTTAATGCCCCTCTGCCTCTCCCCCTTCTGGGAAACCAAAACGGCCACTTGATGGAACACATCAGTATTGTTAGGTGCTCACATCTGTACAGGTGTTCGGATGCATAATTCATTTTTTAGTCTCCACCCTATGAATGAGACGTTTTCCTGGCTGCTTGGATCTCACCCTCAGCTATCCCAGGTTATTTGGGCAGGTGTCTGCACAGCTGACTCCAGGAGAGCAGACGTGCTTTGGCGGTGACACCAGCCAAAAGCTGTTTGAAGCAGTGGGGAGAGGTAGCTTGCAATGCAGGTTAGAGGCAGTGCTGGAGACAGCTTGCCTTTGGGGCTGAGCTGGAGGAGGCACGAAAACCTCGGTTACACAGGAGTTACCACAAGCCATAAGATGAGTTATTGTGAGCGTAACTCGGTGATGTCAGAGCCGTGCGCACGAACAGCACACGGCTGCATTTTTATCGTGTCCTTTTTTTAATTGCCCCTAAACAATTCCAATGGTATGTGCAAAAGCCTGCAGCTGAACAGGTAACTGGGGATATGTGTTCTTGATAGGCCCCTCAAAGTTTGTATGTGTTGGCTCATAAGAAGAGAAGATTGTTTACATCATCTGCTTCATGTAGATCCGTCTTGGGCCTGTGTGTGCTCGTGGTGCAGCACCAAGCCCTCCTCCACCCTGCCTTAGTCGAGAAGGGGGTGGGGTCCTGCAGCAGGCAAGGGGCTGCAGCCCTGCCAGGGGAGTGAGGAGGGGTGAGCATCTCTGCAGGGGTGTCAGGCTCCAAAGGGCCATAGCACTGTCCTGGGCACAGCCCCGCACCCGTGCCAGCTTCCATCTCACCTCTTCTGTGGGGTTAAACCCACCAGGTGCCTCCCTCATCCCATGGCACAACACAGCCATCCCTTCGGAGAAGGGGTGTGGCAAGGAGGGACAGTGATTTTGTGGAATACAGGATGACTGACTGGCTACAGCCTGTCAGTTTGGGGTGCCTGAGCTAGAGGAGCAGAACAGGCAGAAGTACAGGATAAGTCTTTTTTAAGTGGTGCATTTAGAAAAAGCTGTGACTTATGCATCAGCATGTTGGACTGCCTGTGATCCTTCCAGTCCTGAAGCAATAAGCATCAGATGCCTCAGAACAAAGTGGAAGAAACCTCCTAGCAGGGGATGGGTGTAACGCAGCCCTCTGCAAGGGCCAGCGTTGGCACTGTGACCAGCCGTGGTGCAGAGGCAGCCCTGAGCTGGGACCGCAGGGGCCTGGCTGATGCAGGAGGCCAGCCAGAGCTCAGTCGAGGTGAAGGGTAGCTGCTGACAGTTGCTGGCACTTGGCCCTTTCACCCTGGCTCTCAGCGCAGGCTGACACAGAGCTGTGAGGAGTTGATGTGGCACTAAAAGGATGCAAACTCTGGGTGAGGTTGCAAGGACATAATTGGACACCCATCCAAGTGATGACCCATTGCAGGGTGGCCAAGGGACAAGGAAGGTTGACTTGGGAGTGATTCAAGGTAGACTGTGGACTGTCTGCCATAGATATCTCCAAAGTATGTGTGATGTAGTGCAGTAAACAGTCTATAGGCCAGGAGCAAAGTCAGCAGGTTTAACTGGGCCAGCACAGTGCTGGGGGCTGAGGGCCGCAGCCTCTGAGACGGAGACTACAGGAAGTGGCCACTGCCAGAGGCTGTCTGCCACCCCTGAGCTTCTACCAACATGCTCACCCTCTAATTTGAGGTAGAGAATAACAATCTGGCACCCCCCAGGGTGGATGCAGGCAGTGTCAATAAGCGTGACTAAGGAGCAGGGAGAGCTGCAGCCACCCGAGAAAATCCAGTGGTGTGCAGTGCTCCCGCTGCTCACTACCCCCTGCCTGTCTCTGTGCACTACTCCAGGGCCCATTCCCACTCCAGCAGCTGCTGCCTCTGGCCCTGTGGCCTGGGAATGGTGGACACAAGCAGGTAGCACAGGTTCCACCAAGGACCTGCAGTGATGATGTCTTCCCCCATGTTATGCTGGCAGGTGTGTGGTTATTAAGGATGAGATTCAGACTGGTAAAGACATGAGCTTCAGACTGGTAATGACTTGAGGTACAACTACTAATGACAAGCCCTGACAGAGCTCTAGGAGCTCGCTGCTTTGTTTCTGTTCAGGGCAGGGAAATTCAGGTCACCTGACATGGTGCCTGGCTTCTTTCTAGCTTCTTACATAATCAGTGGCCAGCAGTAAATGCCTTCTCTATGCATCTTACATACCACGGGGTTTTTTACTTTGTAATTTTGATTTGATAGTTCAGAGGGACTGAACTGAGGTGCTGCAGGAGGTACCTAAATGAGCTGGAGGTGCCACCACCACAGGAGGTGAGAACATGACCCTAGATCAAGTAATCTGTTGGTCTTAAAAATCTCCTCTAGAAAGAAAACCACATTAGCAGTTTGGTGCAGGATGGCTGGTGAGATTCTGGAGGCTGTGTTGTGCTGTGGACCAGGCTGGAGAGCTGCAAGGATCCCTTGCAGCCTAAACCTGTGTGTTTGGTGGGGCAGTTAGGCAGAACATACAGCGCTGCAAGGAAAAGAAGGAGGGAGTGCAGATGTGGTATGAGGCACAGCGTGCAGCAGGAGGCATAATGGAAAATATACAATACACGTTGCTTTCTAGGAAGGCAAATTGCATGTAGTAACTCTTCTCTCTTCCATTTCAGATAGATGACCCAGGAAATGCCCAGCATGAGATGGTGCATGAGGCTGAGGTCGTTGGCACCGTGGCCAACCTCGGTGCGAATCAAGCCCTGGCCTCAGACTACGTGAGCTCTGGCTATGAGAGAGGGCTGCTCAATCCCAGCTTGCTCAATGAAGATGATTTCCAGGTCGCCACCTACACGCTGACAAACGCCGTCCCTCTGAGCCCATCTATGAGCAAAAGCTGGCACAGAGACATCAGGAGGGTAGTGGAGCTAGCTCTGGTCCCTCACTGCTCCAAGAAGGATCACCTCTATCTCCTTGCAGGAGCTGTTCCTTCCAGCGTCCGAGTCAAAGGCAAGATATCAGTGCCAGAGACCCTCTGGCTGGCAGCCTGCTGTGATGCTCCAGAAGGGTGGTCCCTGGGACTGGTGAAAAAAATAAATGATGAAAACAGCTTGGCAGACCTGACAGTGGGACAGCTGGAGAGGCAGGTTCTATCAGGAGTTCACTTGTTCAAAGGCAACTGTGGGGAAGACAACCAAAGCCAGGAGAAAACAGAAGCAATCCTGCAAGTTATTAGTCAGATCCGCTCTGGAGAGCAAGTAGGAACAAGTGACAAACAGGAGGCCACAGACAGTGGCTTGGTGAGAAAATTAGCTGGCATCATTGCTACCCCTTTTGTCAAACTTCTGGAACTGCTCATCTACATATTTGCAGAGCTGGTGAAGTTTGTGTTTTACTTTCTGTGGCTTGTTACCAAGCGGGCCGTGGGTACTGTTCTGGATGGAGTCTGCAGCCTGTGGAGCGGCGTGGTGTCCTACCTTAAAGCCATCAGCATGGTGCTCATCAGCATCCCCTATGACGTGGGGAGGGTCATCGTCAACATCTTCCTGGGCTTCCTGCAAATCGTCCAAGATGTGGCGTCCCTCACCTACAGGATCCTGTGCATCCCCCTGGGCTTTGCCCTTCACCTGGCTGCGTTCCCGTACCACTCCCTCTGTGCCATTCCCTCCGTCCTCAGCGACGTGGCCGCGGGGATCGGGGGCACCTTCTCCCTGCTCCTCGACGCCACAGCCACGGTCCTGCACGCCTTCTGGTACCTGGCTGGCCACCTAGTCAAGCGATTCGTCCCGAAAGGCTCCTCCGATGACTGATGTGGGAGGAGGTCAAGGCTGCAAAGACATGGAGTGAAGGGGGACTGGGGCGATGCTTTAAGATACGTGGCCAAACGCTGTCAGTTTTGTTCTGGTATTTATTGTAACGACATTAATAATAATGACCCGACTGGGAGCTAGCAGGGAGGGCTGAGGTAACACCACTGGGGGCTGCCACCACTGAAACTCAATTTCTGTCTCTTCTGAAGTGTTCAGGTTTTATTGGTGTAGGCTGCTAAGTTTCTGTGATTTGCAGGTGTCAAGATGCTTCCTCTGGGGGCTGTGTGCTGAATGTGGTATGAGGTTATTTCTTTCTGGCTATGCTAACACTGAGACCTGTGCTCTGGCAGTGAGCTCTGCAGAAGCCCGTCTCTGCCAGGGATGAGGTGGTGGTCAGGGGAGGAATTTAGTTATGGAGAGTTTTCTGGGACCTGGAGAAAGAAGGAGGTGAGGGTGCAGCGATTTGGGTCTGGAAACAGTGGGGAGCGAGGCAGGAGGGGGGAAAAGTCTTGCTGTTTGTTTCACTGCTTATTGCTCCAAGGCTCCACTGGTGGAAGGGATGTGACTGGGTGTATCTTGTAGTCCTTAGGCCCTTCCAGACAGCTGAAATCGCATGGATCTTTCTGTGAGGAAAGGCCCACTGCCTGTTCTTTTGGGTGGTGGGAACACATTTTCCCTTAGCCATACCAAGGTCATCTTTCCCCAGCCCTTCCTTGCTTTCTGGTGACCACTGAAGGTCTAAGCCTTGAAGCTTCAAGACATGGCATTCCCTGAAGGTCTGAGCTCCTGAACGTCTCAGCCCTGAAGCCCTTGTGCCTGCTCCAAAGCCCAGCAGCACCTGTGAGTCACGCTTTTGGCTTTGAATCAGCTGCCAGCCTGCCATGCCTCCCCTGACAGCTGACAGCTCCCCAGGCATGCAGCATGTGCCTGAGGTCTCTGTGAGGTGATGCCCAGGCTGGTGGGTGACACCACAGCCATCCTTCTGAGGCTTGTTTTGAAAGTACATCTTGATGGAGAAGAATGATTAGGAGAGAAAAGGCAGAGGGAATAGGACACTCATGGTGAGGTGCTTGCACCAGTGTCAGCACCTCAGGAGGTCCTGGCAGCACTCATGGAAGAGGCCTTTGCCACCTGCAAGAGGAAGAGGGGGTGCAACACTAGCATTAGACCTGATGGTCACACTAGACCTGATGGTCACAAATGCTACTGAACTCATCAGGGACATCAAGAAAGGAGGCAGCCTATCTCGTTCCAGCCTGGAAGGAGGGGCTGACTTCAGCCAGCTACACCCACGTCGGCACACGAAAGCTGCCTTGCCTTGAACAAAGCCAGCACTGCTTGTGGACAGCCTCTCTTTCTCCACCAACCACCCAAGGCCTACGAAGGGTGAGATAAAGAGAGTCATCCACTCTCCTCATTCATCCCCCGGCCCCCCCACTTCATCCTCATCACTGGTCTCCCCAGTGAGGCCATTAGCATCATTGCCAAATCCAAGGGGCTGCAGCACTGTAGGATTCAGGCAGCTGTGGCACAGTGTTATTAGAATTGTCTTCATGTGCTCAGATTTCGGATGCCGAGAGCTGCAACTGGCACGGGGCGTTTCTCCTCTTCTGCCTGTCCCAGCAGGTGATGGGAAATCTGCCTGGAAGGCTGAGCGGTTCTCACAGAACAAGCAACATCCTGCTACAGGCTATTGTTTGAGATTATTCTTATCTGGACATGATTTATGGCTTCTGAGCTTTACTCTATCCTTGGAAATGTATGGCTTCGACAAAATAAAAGTTACCTTTCCAAAGAGGGGCTGGTATCACATTTCTGTCACAGCTGCAAAGGAGATAAAGCACCAGCAGCACAGTTGTTCTTCGTTACAGCTTGACATCTAATATTAATGGCCCTTTCGTGCTTTTAAAACACCTCTCCTGTCTCAAGGCACTTTAAGAGAGTCAGTTAATTAAGCTGCAGAATATGTAGGTAAAAGCTGAGGGGTTGCAGGCAGCAGACTGAGCCCTGTGCTAGATGAGAGCATGACAGATGAATCCCTCCAGCAGAACCTCCATTGCTCTCAGGTCCTGAGGAACAGATGAGACACTGGAACAGGTTACCCAGAGGTGTTGTGGATGCCCGATCATTGGAGGTGGTCGCGGTCAGGTTGGACAGGCCTTTGAGCAACCTGGTCTAGTGAAAGATGTCCCTGCCCCAGCCAGGTCACCGAACACTTTGACACAGGAGTCTCTGTGCACCTCAAGGTGACCCTTGTCTCTGCTGCATTCACTCTGGGGCGAGGCACCGGTAGTGGCAAGGGGACTCGGCAACCTCGGCAGCATGACCCCTCCAGGGTCCAGGGCCACAGCCCTGGATCAGGTCCTCTGGGCCACACCTCTGCTGCCATGGCCATCTGGGAGCTGCTCACCTCTGCATGGAGCTCCATCACCAGCTCCATACCTCCTTGTGGCCAGGGAGCTGCTCCAGCTTGGCAGGGAACCTGGCCATGCTTGTTCACAGGCTATCTCTCCAGCATCATCAGTGCCAGAAAGTGGAAAAAAATCTAGAAAAACGAGCAGCCATGTAGCTGTTTTGGGCAGGAAGGGCTGCCAGGGAGCAGGGAGCATGGGCTTTGTCCGGGTGTCAACGAGGCTGGCAGCCTCTGTGCTGGGCATGGGACAGCTTCCCTTAGCTGCACGGCGTCCCAGCCTGCTGGGTTGACTTGCTTTGGTTGGGAATAGATCTCACACCGAGTAGCAGCTGCAATGGGTTCCACAGAACTGGTGATTCCAGCCGAGCAGAAAGGCCTCCAGACTTCCCAGCAGTGTTACTGTTGCAGCTGCCTGGAAAACCTCCAGGGAAGTCTGTCCTGTCAGATCGGGGTGATTTATCAAACAGGGGTCTTTTTGTGACAATTTGCCATTATTAGTGGAAAACAATCAGGTCCAGGCTGGAACAAGGACCAGAATCACCTGAGAACAGCCCAGGGTTTGGATTAGAGGTCTGGACGTGGATGTTCAGCACCCGCTCCTGCCTAAAGCCAGGCCTGGCATGAGAACGTGCCTATCTCCAGCTCAGAGGAGTGTCCTGACAGCCATGGCCCATCTCAGCTTGGGGCTCAATTTCTCCCATTTGTAAAACTGGAAAAAAAACGTTTCCTTTTTAAAAGTACTGAGATTGTGACCATTTTCTGGGAGGCAGAAGCCATTTTCCACTAAGCCAGCAGCAAAGTTGGCCACAAAGCTGAAGCAGTGGCTTCAAATTCCTTCACAGCACCATATTTACTAATTACTTGATGTTTTAAACTAATTTAATGTGGTGGAGGATGGACATTGGGAGCAGATGTCACTGCGTGTGTATTGCTGTGGTATTGCAGATTTTGCCAACCCTCCCAGTGCCTGCTGGTAGAAGGTGGCTATGGACCAAAGCCAGGAGATACAGCAGGTGGGCAGGACAACACTAATGGCCAGGGGATGAACCATAGGAGCTCCTCACTCATGGGAGAAGAGCAGAAGATGGATGGGATGTTTCAGACTAGATTTAAGAAAGACAGTGTTTATGCTGAGGGTGGTAAAACATAGGAACAGGTTGCCCAGAGAGGTGGTAGATGCCTCATCCCTGGAAACATTCAAGCTCAGGTTGGATGGGGCTCTGAGCAACTTGATCTATTTGCAGATGTCCCTGCTCACTGCAGTGGGGTTGGACTAGATGGCCTTTAAAGGTCCTTCTAGGATTCTATGAAACCAAGTGGCCAGTAGCTAAATACCGTTCACAGTAATGGCTGAGGAGTGGTGTCTGCTTGGTCCTGACACCAACAAACTGCTGATATGAGTGAGGCGGCTCCAAGGGGTGATAGACTCAGGGAGACATCACTGTCTGGATTAATGCCACCCAAGTGTGAGCATTTAAAATGTCTGCGCAGGCACAGATGTCCCTCCATTCAGTATAAACATCTCACTCGGCTTTCACCTCGGCACCTCCGCTGGATGCCTAGAGCCAGGGCCAGTGAAGCGCAGCTGGGGTTGGTGGCTGATGGGGGTTGTCCCACCCATGGAGACCTTTGAGGTGTCCACTTGTGTGAGTCACCCAGATGATTGTACAGGTGGGATAGTCTTTCCTACAGCCCCTTGGAAGTCTCTTGTGTCACTGAGACCTTCCATGCAGGTAGGAATGATGCTGGGGTGATGCCTCCTGGGAGCTGGTGGAAACAACCCCCAGTGCTTGCAGCCCTGGGTGGGGGGTGCTGGGGTGTGTGTGAATGCAACAGATGGGATTAACTATAGTGTGTGCCTCAAACCCCGTGTGCTGGCCTGACCTGTCTGGAGTGATCCCAACCCCCAGAGAATTTGGCGTCCAATTTTTTGAGTCCACAGGAAACACAAATGAATGTGGAGTGGCTGAGTGCACCCTTCACCCCCCAGCACCTGTGGGGTGTAGCTGCACCGTGGCACCGCAGGGGAGCAAAGGGGCTGCTTCCTCAAGATTCTGTAAGATCAGGGAGCTACAGAAGAGGTTTGAACGGTAACGGTTAACATCCTGGTGTCAGAGAGGTCTCTGAGGCCCATCATCCCACCAACAGACAGTTAAGGAGGAAGGGTGATAACTCAGGTGCTGAGTCTTGTCATCCCAAGATCCTGTAATGCCACAGATCATCCCCCCTCAGCCCAATCAGAGGGAGGTTTGGTGGAGTGGGATGTGTCTGGGAACCTGGTACCTGTCCTTTATTTCTCTCAGGAGCATGCTCAAAGTTCCACTGTGTCCATCACCCATTCCAGCTGTGAGCAGATGCAGGTGCTCGGCACCGAGCGCGTTCCCGGCTGTCCTCCCGGGGGCACAGCGCTGAGGTTCTGCGTCTCTGCAGTGCTGGAATTTGCTCTCAGCTCTACCGTGTACAACTGAGGATGCCTCCAGCTGAGCCGCTTCTGTTCCTGCTTCTCGCAAAAAGTGCATTTTCCTTGTTTTGTTTTGCTTTTTCAGGCGGAAAACCCGAAGGAGCAGCGCAGGGCCTGGCCTG